ATTCTTGTTCATTGGTTGTAATGTGAAAAACAGTTGAAGAAGAGAGTTAGACTGATTATATATTAAAAAAGATTCTCTGTTAAATAAGTACATCTTTTGGTTTTAGTCATAATATTTATGTGAATTATTGTCACATGTCCATAAAATAAAGAATGTCTGTAATTTAAAGATCCCAGTCACCTTGTTGTTCATTGGTTGTAATGTGAAAATAGTTGAAGAGGAGAGTTAGATATAAGGTCTTACTGAAAATAAAATGAAAGCTGTTTTTGTATATTTGAAGTTTTAAAACTTCATATTAATTTTTAATATTGATCTTTGAATTGAATTTAATTTTAATATTGATCTTTGAATTCGATTTTTCAAAATAAAACATTTTTTATTTACCTTAAATTAAACAGAGAAAGAACACGGCATATAATATATAACAAGAAACTGTTTGATATATCTATATTTTAAATGGGGTGATTTTTCTAGGAAATTTCCACCAGAGGTAAGGTATAAGAGCGGGTTTGGGAATTTGCTTTTTCAGAAATTAAAAAGTGGAGAGGGTACGACTATTAAGAGATCCGAGAGTAGCACACTTTGCTAATCTTGTAACCAAGTCCTGAACAAATGAAACTAAATATCTATGAAAACTAAGTCTTGCACACGTTTCATGAATTACAAGATGATCTTCTTCTATGTTCCGTGTCTCTTCAGGATGTGGTGGATCATCGCTCTCCACAACTTCCTCTCATACTTAGACATATCTCTTAATCCCTCTTCAGAAAACGATTTTTTTTTTTTGCAAACGGACTTCTGATATAATAAAATATAATATAAAATAAACCCTTCTCTAGCGCAGGGTTAAAATCTCCGGGATCCAGCGTCTCTCATTCTTCTATGTTCCGTGTCCCTTGGGGACGTGGACAATCATAGTTCTACACAACTTCCTGTCATTGCTAGCCGTTAGTAAAGTTCATCTGTTAGCAATATCTTCTAATCACTTTTCAGCCAATCATATTTTTTTTACAAAGGCACTCCTGATATATTAAGATATTTTATAAAAACTAAAAACTCCTCTATTAAGGAGATGCTGCACTACTTCCTGTCCTTTTGTAGCCTCTTAGCAGTTCTTGTCCCTTTCCTAGTTTCTGTTCTGCTAACCATTTACAAATGACCTTTAGGTACGTTATGGTCTCTGCCTCTTGTCATGTGAGTGTCAAATTTTCTAAGCCTTCTTTCCTCATTATATGACTTAGAAATTTCAACTGGTCTAATTCTAGGTCTCCTATTTGTTCTTATTTTCTCTATAACTTATATATACATACATACATATATATATATATATATATATATATATATATATATATATATATATATATATATATATATGTAAACTCCTCATTTATTTTCCTTGGACATTTTTTCCTCCTACTGGAGATGACATTTAGATCATTTTAATTATGAAATAATAATGCAAAATAAAATTTGAGCTCCCTAGAGAATAATTCCCTGTTAATAACTCATTTTCGAAATGCCCCTTTATTTTGTTGGTATATTAAGCCCCAAGTTGGGAATCATCGTTTCTAGAAGGATATCGACACGCCACGTTTTGCCGTGTAATTCGATCATCTAAAATCAAGCACTTGCCGTTTCAAAAGCATCTTTAAAATATCTCTGGTGAAAACTGCAATGATCAACGCTGTTAAACTTGCACTTTTCTATTTAATGTTTTGAAAAGTTTTAAAAACATTATTAGTACACATACTAATTTTATTTGACTAATTACAGCTAGATCATTGGATTTGGGTTCTGCTACTTGTAAGATGCTTTAGTTTTGTCTTATTATACATTGTTAACTCGACTGCGATAGTTTAATTGAAGTGAGTGTTATACAGAGTATCCATAAAGTTCGTGTGCATTTTAAAAAAGTATAACTATTTCTATTTGTGATAGAAATAATCTGTAAAAAATGTTATACAGTTTAATGTACCCAGTTTTAACTATAGCTAAAATAACTAATGTTATTTCAGGCATTACTGTAAATCAGTTGGCAAATGTTTTCCATGAACTGCAAAATCGTATTACCCTTTGTATTGCTAATGATGGAGGACATGTGGAAACTTAAATAAAATTTCAATAAAACTTTTAAAAATATAGATTTACTTTTCTAATCCTTTTTACAAATTATTTCTATCATAAATACAAATAAAAGTTATAAATTTTCTAAGTGCACACTTTATATATATATATATATGTATATATATATATATATATATATATATATATATGTATATATATATATATATGTATATATATATATATATGTATATATATATATATGTATATATATATATATATATATATATATATATATATATATATATATATATATATATATATATATATATATATATATATATATATATATATATATATATATATATATATATATATATATATATATATATATATATATATATATGTATATATATATATATATGTATATATATATATATATATATATATATATATATATATATATATATATATATATATATATATATATATAAATTATTTCATCTGGGACAGATTGTATTATTTCATTTATGTGCATAAACCCATTACCCCCTATATAGAACCCTCTAGCCCCCAGAAGGCAATACAACAAAGGTGAAATATCTCTGTTGGGAATACCAGGTACTGTAGGTTTGAATGTTCGAGTGCTGTAATGGATAATGAATCAGAATTGGAACACCGAGTTTCGTTATGTTCAATTTGGAAAGATTTGAATACATCTCTCAATCTACTGTCTGTCTATGGATTAATTAGTAGGACTTATCAGTAAACCATTGCCATTTTTCCCAAAATTCTTACAATCTAAAAATAATTTATGGCTTCAAATAACCTACAAAGTGTTGATAAACCGTAAAGCACAAATCAATTCTTGTTTGTTGATCCGGGTAACTTTCAAGTAATTTCAAAATGAAGTTTTTATGCAATGTTTTATGGTAGTGAACTCGGCCATGTCTCCCTCTATATCCTGTTCTTTTACGTGCTAATGTGCTTAACTCGTCTGCTCATAAAAAAAAAGGTAAAATCTTTTTTGGAACAACTGTTGTAGATTAAGATTGATTAGACTTAAATCTACCAACATTTGTGTGAAATTTGAAAAAAATACTGATTTTATTATTTCAGTTCAGTAGAGAATCGATACGTGATTTCATCAAAAGTTTTTCAGTACCTTACTTTTAGTTATATATATCAAGTTTGAAACTGTGATTAATATACAGTAAATTGTGGCGTACATGTCCACTTAGCGTATAAGTCGACTTCAAGATTCTCAGCTCAAAACTTATTGTATAAGCCGACCCCAAAACATACGGTAGGCTGCCAGTGACAAAACTCACCAAAACAGAATTTTTAGTGTGTAAACCGCGATTTGTTCGCCGCAGTTTACCGCAATAAAATGTTCGTCCGCTCGTATCTGAGTATGCCTATTTAGTAGGGCAGATATCTAATCCCGCTTGCAGACGCCTGTTCAGACCCATTTGTGTTTGTTCAACACAGAGACCACCTGTGGTTCATAAAGCATCTATGCTAAGCGGACATTAATTACACTTTCTGGGATTATTATTATCTGACCTGATCAACAGTCTGGACAAGGTCCGTACGTTCAAACCCTCGGTCACGATGACTTGTAACTTCATGCTAGCACAACCATCAATGTCTCCTAAAAATTTCTGTTTACCAAATTTAACTCGGAAGGCTTAGGTCAAAATGATGCATAGCAGGCACTTTCTAAAGGTGTCGCACGCTGAGGTCCCTTATACAGACCGATTGCCTCAAGAAATCGCCTTCTTGACAAATCGACAATGGCGAGATTCGAACCCGTGTCTCACGGCCGGTAAGTGAACGCTTGAACCATTCAGCGGCTTTGATTAAGTCATTGATAACTGCGTATCAGTGTGAATTAGGAAAAGGGAGAACGTAAGTAAAATGAAGAATCCTGAAAGACTAAAAATATTGAGTATCAATCACTTGAAAAGTCGTGTTTCTTTATTATGGCGACGACCATAAGTTACCATCAAGGCTACGACCATAAGGTTTTTTTCACGCTGTTTTTAACGCAAATAGCTGGTAACCTGGCGTCTATGACAGGAATGGCAAATCATACTGGCAACGAAAAACAAACGTTTTTAAGGGAAACAATATTAAATATATAACAAATAAACAGAAGAGTTGAAAAGCAAGATGCCTAATATTCAAACTAGGTGTTCAAATGGTGATGTCTGAAACAATAACACAATGTGGTTTGTCTTCGCAAACAGACCTAAGTACTGTATTTCTCGCTGTTTTTCCCCACAAAATCCGCAGTGTTTAGTTTGACTTTCCAGTTAGTCGTATAGATTCTAAATAATTCTGTCTTCCACCATCCGTTCCTGGACATTTTATTTTATTCAGTAATTGATCACCAAGCAAACAAAACCATGGGTATGACGATAAAATAAAGCAGAAATTAAAAACCGTAATAGTAGCTAAAAACAAATTTTTATTCGCCGTCATATTTTAGTATGAAAATAATGTTAATACTTCAGTTGAAACTATAAATCAACTCATAAAAAATGTATTGCCTAGGTTGTCAACTATAGTGTTGGCGTTTGAGGTCAGATTTCGTAACTGACCTCTGGGGTTTAACGTATTAATAGGCATCGTTTGGAATATAAATCCACTCCTCTGCAAAACGGTTTCTTTTTTGTTCCTGTTTTCTGCCATAATCTACTGCATTACTTCAAAGCCAATCAATTTCCGGGTTATCTTTTGATATTTCCAATTTAGGAGATGCCAAAAGTGTTTCCCAAAAGTCCGCTTAAATGCGAGGCTCATGTGGTAACAGGCTCGGGTCCAGCACGCCATCTGGTTGACATTTCAATCTAATAGAAGTCATTCGCTATGCAAATAGACGCGAGCATACAGATATAGTTCCTCGGCGCCATAGAGCTACGCCCCTTTGACAGATGCCCCTTGCTTATGCTCGTGGACCGATAACGAAATTCATAGGCAATTTTCTGGGGTTCTGAACCCGACATTCTCTTTCCAGTGGATCCATTTATGGGTGTTCGCTTCATCGCACACGCGAATTCCTGACAAAATCAGGTAAAGTGCTTGCCAGTTTTGGCAAAAAGAAGAAATTCCCAAATCCCAAAATGTAACGTATACTGTTGCTACACACTCGAAACAATTAGCTTTCAGTAAAAGAAAAGAAAAGAGGAAAGGAAGGAAGATTTGAGTTCCATAATATTGTCTTCTTTCTTGAAGAAAGTAATAGAGAAGAAGAGAATTGAATGGCATCAGTGCATACACGTTTCTTGACAGCAGACGTGGGAGAACAATGCCATGCAAGATGCGGCAAAAATATTTCCCATATTTCCCCCATCAGAAATACTTCCCACATAATGCTAAAACATTACCTGCAATGGTGTCTTCATTTACCTAATATCTTTCCATTATATGGATGGCATTTCTGAAAGGTATATGTCGGAAGTATTTTTACCACACTCTTTATAAAAGAATCTGCTTGGTCCTCCGATCTTAAAAAATCTAAACGCAACATCAATAGTCATTTACTGTCTTTTTCAAAGCTGTTCTTTTATTGTCCTTTCTTCTAAATTTTTATTTAGTTTCTTTCAATCTCGACAATGTTAAAGAATGCGAAAGCTAGGGCCAGAATGGTAATCGATTAGCCGGAGGTCCTAGTGAGCGGGGTATTCTGACAGTGATGGATTGCCTTTTTATAGGTTTGAATATAAGTCCAAAACGGCACGAATCCAACAGAGAGTTTCAAGAATTCCGAAGCTTCGATATCCGGCTAAGACCACCCCCGCATGTACGCTGAGCTAACATTCTTTTCTGTGATGTCATTCCTCTTACTGCCTCTTAGAATCCAAGCTGCCACTCAATAAAAAATAACAAAATGAAATGGTCCTTTTCTTTGATACCGTTTTACACCCTTGTGCAAATTAATTGAAACAACCGCTATAGTTTTCTTTCTTACGCCATACGTTCATTTTTAGACCCACTGGAGTGACAGGGTGTAATCGAGTTCTACTTTTTCTCAGATTAGGTCATTTGCAGTGATATTCAGTAATATGAATCTATTTTCAGAGAGTATGATGACATTTGTTTGGCCTTGAAAAATATTGCATCATCCATGATTGGGTCAGTTTTATATCACGCCCAGACAATATTGTCTCGACTGTCGATTAGTTGCCTTAATCCATTGTCTGCGATGGACGTTACACCAAGGAAGCGTACGAAAATTGTAACGCTGCAGGAACACACTGACAAGCCTTACTAGTGAGCAAATCAAAGTAATATAGACTGGCCCTGATACTCTCCTGATTTAAATCCAATCTAGAATCTGAGGTCAATCTGCAAGGAACGACCTCGTGGAATCGACAAAGTGCACTGAGTCATGTTTCATTGGAAAGATACAAAAAAAGTAAATAATAACTGATTCAGTATCTGTCTATATTTCTGAGATGAGTTATTATGTACACTATTTACATTATTCGGACCATTGTCCTCATCTTTGTCGACATATTTATTACATCGTTTCGGCCTTTCAGTATCTGTCTATATTTCTGAAATGAGGTAATATGTACACTATTTACATTATTCGGACTATTGTCCTCATCTTTGTTGCCATATTTCGGCCTTTCAGTATCTGTCTATATTTCTGAAATGAGGTATCATGTACACTATTTACATTATTCGTACTAGGCATGGCATGTGAAACTCGTACAGTCTACCCCAGGGAGCGAAATAAAGTTCGACATTCCAACCACCGGAATAAGGCCGGAGCGTACAACGGCTGCTTCAATCACGGCCTCTAGACGATTCGGAATCTCTTCTGTACGATCTCCTTATTTAAGTTAGTGAATGCTGCTATAATCCTTGCCTTTGGTTCATCGTGTGTTGGTCTCCCGCTCAATTGCGCTCCACACATAATAATCAAGGGAGTTGCAATCTGGGAAGTTAGGTGGTCAGATGTAAGGGGTGATGTGGTCGTAGACATTGTTTGATAGTCAGAACTGGGTTCTCCTGCTTGTGTAGCATGGTGCAGAGTCATGTTGCCAGACATAGGCTGACTCAGGGCAGTACTGCCTTCACAAGGCACCTGATGTAGGCCTCTGTGTTGAGTCTGAGGCTCTGTGGAAAGATAAATCGAGGCATAATGTCACCAGCACTAGTGATCAGTCCAAGCACCTTTGTAATCACCATTAGACTCATCCAACTCTTTACCAAATCCTCTGCACAGATTGACACGCAAATACTCTGAAATGTTTGCATTAGATCTTCCGTCGCGAATGCCAAGTAGTACTGCATGCCGTTTCCAAATTTCTGGGGCAGCGATTTCCGATATGATACTCTTTATATCACAGCCGGTGCTCATCTTACTCTACTATACTCTGCAGTCGACAAAATCGAAAACAAACATCGAGCATGCGTGAAATTAAAAATATAAAATGTCGACAATTTACCCATCGCACCCCGTAAACCTCTTGAATGTAGAAAAAACAGAATAGATGCACTTACTTTTGTTGCATGAGTTCAAGCTGGGTCATAATGTTTTTCTATCTGCTGTCAACATTGACAATGCAAGAAAGTGAAGGATCAATATATGGTTTGACATTACGGTCTTGAATTCAGAAATCCCGCAGTTGGGATACGAGTCTTGGCGATCAAGATGGTAGAGGGCGTCCATCTGTTATTGCTAATCAACATCTGAAAACACTAGCCGAGCAAAACGCATGACAACGTGTCACAGAAATTTATCAGATGCCAGGATTTCACCAATATACGACCATATCAAGAAAATTGTCAAGATGAAGAATCACGATAAACTCGTGGAAAGTAGGCAGCATCTACGAAAATGGAATAACCAATTTCTTGATCGAATAGTGATGAGAAAGAGAAGCGCCTTTATGGAATCGTAAATGATGCGCCCAATGACTTGATGATTGAGGACTCGGGTACTTTCCCAAATGATGATTATGGTGATTGACTTGTGCTCTGCCAGTGGCGTCATCCATAACAGCTTTCTGGAATCTAACAAGAGCGTCACTGAAAATGTCTACTGTCAGCAAATGAATAAAATGCACATTTGGTTAAGCAAAATACGACCGGTACTGATTTATCGACGAGGTTCAATTCTGCTTCCTGACAATGCCAGGTCTTATGTTGCAAGAATAACAATACAGAATCCTACCGACCTGGGATACGTCATATCTACCATATTCTCCCGATCTCTCACACGAACTACACCCTGGTGTAAATTAATTGAAACCAGAAGAACTGGATGAAATGCAAATTCAGTTAGGCAAAAATGCTACCAGAATTGGTTAATGTGTGTTCGATGCTGCGTCTTCGAAATTCGAATAATACGTTTCTTGATAAAATAATTTGTGATGAGAAATGGATTCTTTGTGACAATCGTAGACGATCGGCTTGATGAAGAATCCAAACACTTTTCAAAACCGAAATTGCACCAACAGAAGATTATAGTTAATGCCTGGTGGTTTTTTCTGGTGACGTTATCCATTACAGTTTTCTGGAATCTAACCAGAGAATCATTGCCAAAGTCTACTACCAGCAAATGAATGAAATACACATTCGATTAAGCAAAATTCGACTGGCACTGATTTATCGACGAGGTTCAATTCTACTTCATGACAATGCACGCCAGTCTTATGTTGCCAGAAAGACGCTGCAGAAGCCCATCGATCTGGGATACTAAACTTGGCCATATCTACCCTATTTTCCAGGTCTCTCCCACAAAATTCACCCCTGTGCAAATTAATTAGAACAAAAAGAATAATCCCGTTATTATTTACCTTTTTTTTCGTATTTTTCCAATGAGTTCTTTTAGACAGTCACAAATCGACTTAATGGCTTGATCATGACAAAGTACCTAAACACTTTTCAAAACCGAAATTGCACCTACAGAAGATTATGGTTAATGCCTGGAGGTCTGCCTTTGGCGCTATCCATAACAGATTACTGGAATCTAACCAGAGCATTACTGCCGAAATTTCCTGTCAGCAAGCGTATGAAATGCACATCCGGTGAAGCAAAAAGCGACCGGCACTGATTTATCGTCGCGGTCTAATTCTGCTTCATAACAATGCTCGGTGACATTTTACCAGGATGACACTGCAGAAGCTTACCGACTTGGCATAGAAGACTTTTATATATTCACCATATTTCCTTGATATCTTGCCAACTGGCTATCATTTGTCAAGCATCTTGACAAGTTAAGTCAAAAGATATTCCGGTGCAAAGATGCAGAAACGGAATTCAAACATTTCTATGCGAACGAGACTTTAGAGTTTTATTGGAAGGGCGTAAATATCTGTGGTAGAAGTGTCTAGATATTCAAAGTTCTTATTTTAACTGATTTAAACATTGTTTAAATACATTAATTTTGTAATAAAATTTGTTTCTAAAATAGCACATTATTTTCTGTACAGCTTAATATATTAATTGATCCAGTAAAATTTTCGGGTTCAGAATTAATTTCAACTCGAAACTAATTTCAACTCGGAAAGGTTAGGTGTAGGGGTTTTAAATCGAGTTGAAATTAGTTCCGAGTTGAAATTTGTTCCAAGTTTAAATTAGTTCTGTGACTCAAAATTCCACCGTTTTCTTATTTGAATTCTCAGGTTGAATTATAATTTTCAATAATTGAATAAGCCGCTTTTCCAGTTCCACGTCTATAAAATAACTATGAAAATTCCCCTATAGCATGGCCAACTGTTTGAGCTTAAGAACTTGAACACAATAATACAATAACAAGCACACGTATGAGTAAAGATAATTGCTAAAGAAATAACGAGCGCCCAGATAAAAAGGTTTAAAATTGTCAGTTTTTTTCATATACTGAAGCAGTCGTTAAACCCATAAAATTATTATCCCCTCCTCTGTTTGTTTGTTCTTTCTTTCTTTCTTTCTTTCTTTCTTTCTTTCTTTCTTTCTTATAATTGTTCCTTCTTTCTTTTTCTCACAGCAAACAAAGGGTGTCTCTGATATTTCTATATTTTCTTTTGTCTTTGCTCGCAATGAAAACGGAATTGTTCTTTTTTTATCTGTGGCAATGGCAGTACGTATCGCGCGTGGTAATTTATAAAATGATACTAATTTATCACCGCCACACTCCGAATGACAACTTTTTGATTTGCTATTATTTCTGATGAAACTTACAAATCAAGTGAGACGATAAATAAATTAGAACAGTTCTGAATTTCTTCAGAAATTTATCATTGTGTCTATATATATATATATATATATATATATATATATATATATATATATAAGAATATTAAACATAAAATTGTCGGCAAACAATTGTCGGACTTTGTCCATTTCATAATGTGTGACGTCATTTGTTTACATTTGATACGCCAATGAGCAGTTATGAATGTACGTGAGAGATTCATGGAAGATTGAAGATTATAAGCAGTAAATTCGACCTTGCTAACCGAACGCTCCTTTGTGGCCGAGCGGTTAGGCACGTCAAGCTAAATGGCGGTTACGTATAAGAAGCAGGTTCGTATCCTGTCGAAAGACGAATATTTTCTATGAAAATTTCTCGGACATTCAGGCCGGTAAATATTATTTAATACTGTTTATTATAAACAGAGCATTTACTAAAATACTTGTATCTATAAAAAGAATGTTAAACATAAAAATGTCTTTATATATATATATAAGTAATTATACTAGTCTGGAAAAACCTTAGGTGTTTTGGCTTGTAAATGAACAAACCAATACCCAAGGAAAAATGATCATGACTGCATGACTAAAAAAAAATATAATAATACAACAATCCCTCCTGTTGTTGTGCTATTGTTGTATTATTTGTCTTTTTTTAAGACATGGTTGTTTTTATGTTGTAGGCTATTTATACTCCGTTCTAATTTTACCTCTTTGACCAGTGTACCCTGACGACCCGTGTAGGTTTGCCTGGTTCTTTATGTTCATAGTTATATATATATATATATATATATATATATATATATATATATATATATATATATAAACTTTTTTTTAATCAATTCATCCCAAGGAAAGCGATAAAATCACTAAGACGCAAGGAATAGATGCGAGTTAAATAAACTAAGAAAACGTTATGGAGGGGAAAAGACAATAAAAAACAGGATTCAAAAAGACCGAGTATAAGATTGATTTTGCAATTAATTTTTTGAATTTCCTAGTTGACATGAATTTAAGAAGCCGGGAGAGAATTATACAGGCAAGAACTAAAAGAAACGCCTAAATGGACGTGACTACATAGAACTTGGGCTTATACCTAGCAATTTCAATAGTAAAATGGTTTCGAGCTGCCAATATGCTTACATTCGTGAAGTCAATGTACCCAAAAAGAAAGCTCATCAGAAAAATAGCCTAAAAAATATTTGTAGAAAAGACAGAGGGAAGCTACATTACAAAGTTAGAAAAGTGACTGAAGCTGAGATACCAAGTCAAGATGCGTAGAACCATCTTTTGTAACTTCCGTAGGAGTCCTTGTACTTTAAAAAATATAGAATAGTTCTATATTTTTAATTACTTACCAACAATATTTTTGGCGGATTAAAAATTCCTAAACATATTGAAGATTGTTATCATCTTTGTTAAGAAATTTGATACAAAGCGTAATGATCTGATGTGATGAAATTTTAAATATTTGGATATCTACGAAAGGCTACTAGTTGATATAATCAAATTTAAATTGTGAAAATGATTGTATTCTTTTGATGAACATGTTCAAATTATATAAATCTTAAGTAAATAGTTATCCAGTTTTTAAAAACATTTTTCTTTTAAATGTTGGAAGAAAAGTATTATTTTCTATTTATATTAAATGCATTCGTTCTTCAATATTATTATCATACTTTCTGAGATCTGTAGGGATTTATCGTTAATTTTTCTGTCAGGATGCATGACGGGAAAGATATTATGTGATTTGGTAAAAGATAGTTTTTTTTTTAACAGGGAATAACGTAGTTAGAAATGGAAAGAGGCATGCAACTGATTCCTGAATGTTTAATCCCGCACAGATAAAGACACGGTTTATCGTTCAATATTTCAATATTTGATAAATACAAGTTACACGATAAAAAAATTAAAAAACAAAACAAAAAAAAAAACAAAGAAAACACGCACACACAAAGACACACACGGCACACGTGAATTGGGAATATCCAAAACTTCATAAATAGCCTTTAGGAAATTCACTATAAATGTTCACTTAGTCTTTCTCTTTTCTCACATTCCTTTATTCTTGTTCTTTTCTCATTTTCCCTTATCCTTGTTTCTTTCTCGTATTCCATTATTCTTGTTCCTTTTTCGTATTCCCTTATTCTTTTCCTTACTCATATTCCCTTATATTGTTTCTTTCTCATATTGCATTATTCTTTTCCTTTCTCATATTCTATTATTCTTGTTCCTTTCTCATATTCCATTATTCTTGTTTCTTTCTCATATTCCATAATTCTTGTTCCTATCTCTTATTACCTTATTCTTGTTCCTTTTTCATATTCCCTTATTCTTGTTCCTCTCTTATTACCTTATTCTTGTTCCTTTTTCATATTCCCTTATTCTTGTTCCTTTCTTATATTCTATTATTCTTGTTCCTTTTTCGTATTCCCTTATTCTTGTTTCTTTTCTCATATCCCCTTATTCTTGTTTCTTTCTCATATTGCCTTATTTTTGTTCCTTTCTCATATTCCATTATTCTTGTTTCTTTTCTCATATTCCCTTATTCTTGTTTCTTTCTCATATTCTATTATTCTTGTTCCTTTCTCATATTCCATTATTCTTGTTTCTTTCTCATATTCCCTTATTCTTGTTCCTTTCTCATATTCCCTTATTCTTGTTCCTTTCTCATATTCCCTTATTCTTGTTCCTTTCTCGTATTTCCTTATCCTTGTTCCTTTCTCATATTCCATTATTCTTGTTCCTATCTCTTATTACTTTATTCTTGTCCCTTCTCATATTCTATTATTCTTGTTCCTTTCTCATATTCCCTTATTCTTGTTCTTTTTTCATATCCCCTTATTCTTGTTCCTTTCTCATTCTGTTACTTACCTGTTGGTGTATCGGTAGGCTGATGGTTAACAACGCTGAAAACGAAATCGTTGAGCAGAGTTCAAGTCATGGTCGGTCATCGCCGTGCCGAGGAAAAATTATCCAGTCGATTCTGGTTCGATCGCTTTATGTTAATACCATTGGAAAAGTCTTAAATACAACAATCTGCTGCTATGAGCTAAATAGCACGGCAAAATCGGATCGCTTGTCTTTGTAGACAGCCATTGTAAGAAATACTGAAACCAAACCTGAGAAGTGTTGCTTAGAGCGTTTGAAACAGAATGCACACTATTTTTTTCTGTTAGCACTTCTTACAAGAAGAATGTTGATAATTCTACACAGGTTTTCTTTCTTTGATTTTGTTTAGGGACATATCAACACCTCTATTTTCTGAAATTTAAATTTTTTAAATAGAATTATATGCCTTCAACTAAAAATACTTAGAACGCAATTACATGGCTTTAGATAAAAAATAAAATGTATTATTGGTAACTCTACTATGAAATGTATTGCTAGGGATTTTATTATAAATATTTATTGTTGTCCATTTTTCTACGAATATGTATTATTGGTTATTGTCTATGAATTGGTCATTAAAATCTAATCTGGTATTTTACTATAAAAATGTATTTTTATAGGTTCATGGTATTTTTTTGTTGTTTGGGGATTCATTATTTGCCTATAGCTAGGACCCTAACAGGTGCTGCTACCCCGGATCTGTGAAGACCTGGGAACAGCAATTACGAGGTGGTTCTACGCTCCTCAAAACCTCCATTCTCCCGATAAGACGCTTTGCGGCCAGATGTAGTCCATTGTCGTACATAGGAGTAATGAACTTTCTACTATAAAATATATTGCTGATCATTTTATTATAAATATGTATCGTTGGTCATTTTTCTAAGAATATGTATTGTTAGTCATTAAAATGTATTAGAGGTATTTTACTATAAAAAATGAATTTTTATAGTTTCATAGTATTTCTTTATTGTTTGGAGATTCATTATTTTGCCCATAGCTGGGATCCTAACAGGTGGTGCTACCCCGGGTCTGGGCGGACCTGAAAACAAAAGCAATTAAGATGTGGTTCTACGCTCCTCAAAAGCTCCAATCTCGCAATCAAAGGATTTGCTGCCGTCATACTCAGGACTATTCCACATAAGCCTTCATCACAATACGAACACAATGTCTGTAGGTAGACTAGCGGTTCTGTGTTCAAATCAGAACTGTTAGATTCTCATGCGTTGGAATCGATGAAAGATTGTAAAAGGCACTTTTGTTGCCTTCAGTGTCGACGCTAGTTTCAGTACTCCAGACCCTAACGCCACTTCCGACACTGTATCGACGAACTGCGCTTCCTTTTTCTTATTCGTTCCATTATGGAAGCGAGACAGACGTGGCGACATCGATTCTAGGAGGTAATGGGAGTGAAACCTTCAGGGAAACGCATGACCATTCATTGACTTAGCATTCCGGGACATGTGTGTTCGCTTCTAAGCAATGTGGGGAAAGTATTTCGACTCTTTAACATTCATACGGCTCTCCACCGACATTGCACAGTTTTGCTCATATATCTAAAACATAGTAAAGGGAAATCTATGACTGCCAGAGTTACACACTCACGGATGTTCTGGCCAGTAATTTGCCATCTGGGACCGGCCATTGCATTCTGCAACACTTGTAGCCTCTGATATATTAACAGGCAAAAAATACTGTAAAACAGTTACCACTTTTGTGAGAAGTTTGACATCAGGCTTTGAGTTTTCTATACGGAAGAGATTGATAATAGACCCGAAGATAGTCAGATAACTTGAAGCTGTCAAGATAAAGGATGAAATCTTCGGATTTTAAGGCACGTATATGCGTTAAAACAAGTCGTGGGTAACTATAAGCTGAGAGCTTTTATACCCTTGTGCAATTTAATTGAAAAAAAAAAAACGAATCATTCCATTAGTATTTACTTATTTTTCGTATTTTCCCAATGAACCATGACCCAGTGCAAATGTTGGTACTTCATATGTCCATTCCTTGCAGACTGACCACAGATTCTCGATTGGATGTAAAGCAAGAGAGTTTCCGAACAAGTCGATACTAATGGTCACTAGTAAGGCTTGCCATTCTGTTTGTGCCGCGTTACAATTTTTGCACGCTTACTTGGAGTAAAGTTCATCGCAGACAATGGCTGTAGGACAACTAATCAACAGTCGAGACAATAGGGTCTGGGCAGATTAAAATCTGATGCAATCACGCATCATACACTCCGAAAATAGATTTATATTACTGAACACCATTGCAAATGATTTAATCTGAGGAGAAAACAGAAATTGATTACACCCTGTCACTCCAGTGGGTCTAAAACTGACTGTATGGTGAAAGAAAGGAAACTAAAGCAGCTGTTTTAATTAATTTGCACAAGGGTGTACACGTAGAATCGAAAAGAAAATTAATACCCCTTACTTAGATGAGGACAAAGAGATAACAATAAGCATACCAATAGGTATGTACACAGAAATTGATAACTCATTACCGTGAAATCATTATTCATAGCGAAATACAAACGAAATGAGAAGACGTTAATGAGGAGGAAGGACAATAAAAGAACAGATCACTTGCATTATTTACACTATTCGGACTGTTATCCCTGTTGAGTTAAAGGGAAATAACTGAGTCAACCAGAAGAGGCATGGCACATGGAACTGAAACAATTTTGGTGGACAAAATACAGGGTTCGGTTCGAAATTCTAAGCACCTGAAGAGGGACTGAGCGTACAACAGACGAAACGTTCTGAATATAGCAATGAAGATGAGAATAACAGTCCGAATAATGTAAATAATGCAAGTAATCATAATACCTTCTCTCAGAGATATAGGCAGATATATAGAGAGACATAGATACAAAGGCCGGAGCATACAACGGCCGAAACGTTATGAATATGGCAATGAAGATGAGGATAACAGTCCGAATAATGTAAATAATGCAAGTAATCATAATACCTCATGTCAGAGATATAGACAGATATAGAGAGAGACATAGACTTAAAGGCCGGAGCGTACAACGGCCGAAACGTTGTGAATATGGCAATGAAGATGAGGATAACAGTCCGAATAATGAAAATAATGATAATACCTCATCTCAGAGATATAGACAGATATATAGACATAGACTAAATATTAAATAGGCGTTAATATCTGTACAATCACGAAAGATACAAATATGTTAGTATTGTAGTGATTTTGGTGCACTCTCAAAAATGAATACCATTTTATTATTTCTTATTAAAAACCTATCGCCCGGTTCAAACACTTCCACGGTCTTTTGAACAGAAGTAGACATTTACATTTTGTTCCCGCTTTAGGATTGAGTTTCTGGTTCTTTTTGAAAGATGTTTCTTTCTCTTTCACTTCCAGTCGCTTCTTGGGCCCTACTGGAGATATCGCCATGTTTTGAATTGATTAAAAGTCCAAGGTTCATTAACTTACTTGGAATGAGGTGATTACTTTCCGTGAATTACATCTATTGGATGCTTTAGTACACATCATCAGTGATGTTTTTAGCCGAGGTTTATTAGGGGTTTCGTGTTTTTCAGCATCATAACCCCTCTCCACGGTGACCCTGTCGATACTGATCGGGTATCGACTTGTATAGCTTCCGTCAGCTACAATTTTTTTTAATCTTTCGAAATGCACACCATACGACCCTTTTTTGGCAATGCATTGTCCAATCGCGGATGACTTCCGGTTCACCAGCAGTGTACGCTCTTCCGTGAAAAAGAAAGGAAACACAGCCATATTTTCTGTCTGATCAGGAATATGGCGGCGTGCTTGGCTTGAAGTAGTAAGTACATATTTGATCCCCTCGATATATATATAAACACACCGAGGTGATTAAAGAAGTAGATAGATAGATAGATAGATAGATAGATAGATAGATAGGTAGGTAGGTAGGTAGGTAGGTAGGTAGCTAGCTAGCTAGATAGATAGATAGATATTAATAAATTAACATAGATATATACATACATGAACATAGATAGATAGATAGATAGATAGATAGATAGATAGATAGATAGATCTTAATAAAATTATACATGGGGAGAGAGAGTAGGGTAAAAAGCGTTATATATTGATGACATATCAGGGAAATTAATGGAATGACATAGGTAGATATGAACAGATAATGATGGACAAGAGAGAGAAAGAGAGTACTATATAGGTATGTAATGAACAGACTAAGATAGATAATGAACAGAGATAGATAGATAGATAGATAGATAGATAGATAGATAGATAGATAGATAGATAGATATGAACAGGTTGAGATAGATATGAACATGCTGAGATAGATAGATAGATAGATAGATAGATAGATAGATAGATAGATATTATTAAAATGACATAAATGATATAGTGAATGATATCAGAACTGACAATAAATGTAACGGAATCGTTCTATTAAAATTGGCATCAGCTTTCCTTTGGGAGGGGCCGGGATCATTACCCGCCACCTGAGGATTCCTCAAATGTCAAAGTTACTGAAGCGATTTGAGGGTATTTTGGGGTATTAAATACAACCAATTTCCAACAAGGATTCAAAATCGTTTTCACACTGTGAAATAGATAGATAGATAGATAGATAGATATCAATTCGATGAACTCCCAAAAGAAATATATTGAATGCGTTCTCCCTTTGAGACAATTTTGCTAGAAAGTATTTCTTTATATTATTGAAAATAATGGAAGAATCGTCAACATAAAATGTGACGAAAAGCAACAATAAAATGTAGATAAAGTTATATAAAATATATCATTTCAGATTTCAGTGGAAAGATACCGTATGCAATGACACTTTTTTCTCCCAAATGTGAATTGCCATGAATTCCCAATAAATATATTTCAGGGCTTTCCTGTTACATTCTCTGCGTTTTTTTTTTAATTAAGAGCCGACATTCTTATGTTCCATAATTTGAACTAAATTTTAAATCATTTAATTAATTTTAATTGAGATAAAACATCAACAGTTCGAC